GAGGTAGGCCGCCTCTATGTGATAAACAATTGGCAACCAAACGGTGGCTCGCTAAAGCGATATATTATGAAATTAAATTATTCACTCAATAAGTATTAACATTAGATTGTTTCCTCGATATGGCCATGGTGGTCATCAGTGACTGGAGTGCCTCAAATGTTTAGAATAATTAAAATAAAATAAATGTCAACTAAAAATTTTGAACGTCATAGCTAGCTAGACATTATTTTCAATTGAAAAACAAAATTATAAAGCATAATACTGTAATCCTATGCTTAAAATGTATTTTCTTATGGCCGGCTGACAGCAACCTGTAAATCTGGTGCGACAGTGAACGTGTTAATAAGTAAATGTTGTTCATTTTCATTAGAAAAATCTCATCAATATGTTAAGAAAAATTTCGGGATAAGAAAACGTAAAATTAAAAAAGTTGATATTTAAATCGGTTGGTTGCCTCGACTCACGTTTCATGCTTATCTTTTATTCGCTGTCCTTGTCTACGTTCGGCAAACTACAAAGGCGGGCGCGAGGCTCGAAAACGTAGTCCCTGACTCTACGAGTGTCAGGTTTAGCTTACTTGCGGTCTGACACTTGTGGAGAATATAATTGCATTTTTCTTCGAACTTTAGTAATAAACGTGCCGTGATTTTTCCTGTATTCTCCTGTATTCTGTAATTATGTATTCTGCCCTGTTCAAAACGTGGCTCGATCCGTTCCTCGTACGACGTTCCGGGGAGGATTTCTATTCAGCTACTTGGAATCGAGGGGACACATTTATGGTATCCTCCTTTCCTGGACAATCTCGTAAAACTGAAATACCGCTTCTGGTCGAAATAATTCTGGTTCGTTGATTCTATAAAAAGAGGGATAGCTTTGTTAACCAAGAGAAAAAGAGGAGAAAAAGGATGGAGGAGAGGATTCGTCTCGATTCTCCGTGGCGCTGTTATTCTATTTATCTCGTTATTCGAAGTCGATAAAAATCCCGAGTGCCTGTATTCTCCTACGGGAAAGAGGATATATTGGAATCGTGTATAAAAGTCAGACGGGGAAATTTGATTTTATTAAAAAGTATCGCTTCCCTCCTGTAAATTTACAGGACTCGGTGGATGCGCGTGCGTAAGCTGGCTCGATCAATGTGTGGAAATGTGCAAAGGCCACACTGAAACCACGTAGAACAATGAAATTTCTTCTTTTTTTTTTTGTTTTTTGCAAAGTATCAACTTGATGGAACTTCCTTTTTTTTTATGTTAAACGATTTGAAGAAGAAAGAAGAGACTGAAGTGTCTCAAGCGACCTGAGGACTTTCGGCGTTCCTGGTACTTTTGGTAGCCTGACTTGGTATCAGATATTCTGAGCACTTTAAGTATTGGATGATTGCAAAAGTCCGTGGCCGATTTTCAGAGGTAGCGAGAACCTTATCGACTTCAGCGCGCATCTTTCTCTTAGCGTAATGTTACATTCCTATCGAAAGATACACCGCTTGTGTTTTATTTTCAAATAATTATTCATTTCGTTCCATTTCAGTTTCAAATGAAATCTGCTTTTGCACACACCGATTGCGTTTTATTTTCAAATCGGGCACGAACTTTTGCGATCGTCCAATACTTACTTAATAAATTTATATAAATTTTTATAGGGTTCTCAGGTTTGTAGGATAAATTTTGTATAAATTTTGAGTAATTTAAGTACTCTAATATCCTAGGTACCTAAGTATCTTAAGTATTCCAGGCGCTCTAAGTGCTGCAAATAGTGCAGACACGTCGGCAGAAGTATAAGCAATTTAGGTACTCTGATGTCCTGGGTACCTAAGTATCTTAAATATTCCAGGCACTCTGAGTGCTCCAAATACTGTGCAGATATATCAGCGGAAATATTCTGCAAATTCTAAGTATTTTCGATATCCCAAAGTATCCGAAATATCTCAAGTATTCCATGCATCCAAAGTACCTCGGATACTCCGAGTATTCTAGTATCTCAGGTATTCTAAATATCTCAAGTGATCTCCGATAAATTTCCTCGTAGAGACCGCAGACATCTCCGTGAAAAAGTATGCAGAGCACCATATCGGAGGAAGCACCGATCTTCTTCCACGAGGAATCAGCCGAAAATTTGCCGGAAGAACTCGTTGAACATCGTGATTGAACGTCGAATTACACCGCGGAACTTCCAAAACTCCCGAAACTCTTGTGCAAAAGCTGAAACTTTCACCGTTGATGGTGTAGAAACTGCGACAGAAAGGAAAATCGTAAGAAGAACTTCTGTTTCTTCTTTCCTTCTTTTTGTTTTTTTTTTTGCAACAAGAAGAAAAAGCTCCCTGATTCAACCGAAGAGATGAAATCAACGGACTCTCTTCTCTTCTCTTTCTCCTTCGTTTCGCTGTAATTTCTTCATCTCCGAGGCTGCTACTAGGATCGATGGAATCGATGTTTACTCGATCGGGTGTGAAGTAGCTGGGATAAGCAGGACCGACAGAATGATTAATCGGTTCCGATTAGGAAAACCGAGTCGGGGGAGCCGTCTCGTGTCTTTTGAAATTCATAAACTTCGCTGTTCCGCGTGTTAGCCCTTGGGAAAAAGGGGAAAAATAGAGAGATTACGGTGTAGAGAACGTATAGATAGTGACGTGGCGAATATTTCGGATCTGTTGGGAAAAATATATATTTTTTTTTCTCTTTTCCCTAGAATATACGGAGAATATTGCAGTTTGCAATTATACGGTAGATACTGATATTTTTTTTCGGGTCGATTTTCGATTGTTCGAGAGATACTTGTGGTACTTGTGAAATTAACGCTTTGTTATTTGGAAGAGATGCTTCGCACTTCGAATGAAAATTTCGAAGCAGGCGTCGGCTATTTAAACGGACAGATACATTCGCGGCGTTCAAGTGGCCGCGTGCCCGATATCGGCAAATTTATGCGGCCCGTTAAGGGGTAACCAGCGTGTAATTGATACTGTACCTTTATTGTCACAGACGGAAGAAAGTATACGTTAGAAGGAACCACCGACAAATCAAAGGAATCCAATTTTTCGGCAAATTGTAATCGATATAAAAATGTTCTAGTTCGGTGGAAATATTGTATATACCATGGAAATGTCAAGTTTCCAAAGATTCCTTCGTTAACGATTAATTCGTCCAAGAATTAATCTATATTCCATAATGGATGTACAACGACACGATATTTTTAATTTTGAGACACCCTGTATACTTCGAACAGTGAAGAAAAAGATGTATTTTCAAAAATCCCGCCATTCGCAATTAATTCGTCCAAGAATTACCATGTATTCGATAATAACCTAAAATACTTGCGACAATGTATGTAGATGTAATTTTGAGACACCCTGTACGTGTCGTACGACAGAGTGCACCGAAGTAGAATCAGTCTGTCGTAAACTCGCCGTGTCTGTTCTCTCTCTCGTGAGGTGGGTGTAAAATTGGGAAGGCAAAGCTAGCCGGGAGCGTTCAGCGACGCTTGCACGCTTGAAAATACCGCCTGTACCGACGGCAGCCAATAAATTTTCGGCTTTACGAGTTTCTACTATTTGCATTTTTCCCCCTCCCCCACGTCCCTTTCGTTTTTCCACCACTTTTTTCTCCGTTTTTTTTTTCTCTTCTTTTTTCCTGTTTTTTTTTTTTTCTGGAGACACTCGACTCGACACTGTTCTAATCCCGCGTTTACGAACGATACATCGACCCGACGAGTTTTCATCCCCTTCTTTCTTTCTGTTTTCACTAGTGAAATTCTTCTCTTTTCCTTTTCGAAAGATTTTACGAGAGTAGAAAGATCGAAACTGGAAAGATGGGTCTCTTAAGTATTTTTCTTAACATTGTAACAATGTCGCAATATGGAAACACTGCTTTAGAATATTCCGTTCAATTGTTGCAGAGACCTAACGAGCAACAACATAACAGACATTCCAGTCCATGCCTTCCATCGAATTTCCAATCTTGAAGTGTTGTGAGTATCGAACGAATTATGCACAAGATATTCTACACGAGTATAAAATTTTGCCAGATTCGTAATTCATCTGAAATCTACTCTTCCCAATTTTCCATGTTTTACAGATTACTTCGACGAAATCGTTTGCACACTATCGCCGACGATGCATTTACAAACTTAACGAGCCTTCGAGTATTGTGAGTGTTCTCGTAAATCGCACAGAAATTCTTTCAAAAAAAAAAAAAAAAAAAAAGTTTGTTGCTTAAGTATAAGAAAAAGAAAAAAAAAGATGAAAGAATAGACGGAGGCCAGAAACAAAAAAAGAAAGGGATCACATGCAGTGTCCGCGATTGTTAAAATTTGTAATTCTCTGTCTGCTTTATAGGGAGCTCGATGACAATTATTTAACAATAATTCCGACCGCGATCGTAAAGCTCACTGGCCTTGAAGACCTGTAAGTGTGCATCGATTAAGTAAAATGTAATTTGACAACTTTTTTTTACATTCTACTGAACACTACTACTTACTATATCGTGTCACGTTTCGTTCAATTGTAAAAGAAAAACTTGAAAGTTTGCATATCTCAACCCAGAAAAAGAAATTAGACAAGAAAGTTTGCTTTCATTTGCCGTTGAATATTATTGGATCGTTAAATCATCATCACTCTGCATCTTTGGAAAATTTTTCTAAAATTAAGCTTTTAAAAATAAATACATCTATTTTACATTTATGTGACACCCTATATATCTCGTGAGATCTTAAAATACTAGTAAAGAAGAAATAAAAAAATTCAAGCAGAGTGGTTGTGATTTTTAAATTTCGTTACCTTGCTTTTTCTTTTTCCCCGTACAAAAAATATATCTTAAAAGAAAAATCGATGCCGGTCCTTTTATTTTCCGTTTTCACCGAAGCGAAGGAAACCAAGAAAGTCGTATTCGTGTATGTTCCGTTGGTTCCGTAGGTCTCTGTCGAACAACCGGATCGAGACGTTAGAAGAGCACGTTTTTCAACGCGTCACTAATCTGCTGTCGCTCGATTTACGCGGGAATCCCATCAAGGAGATACACGGGAACACTTTTCAGAATTTACGGAAGCTCCGTAAGCTGTGAGTATAATGTTTCAAAAGTACGATGATATGTAGATGGTATTCAAAATAATTGTATATTGTAAAAAATAAGTCTGTAAAATATATTGTAAATTGAAAAGAAATATAAACTCAAGAAATCTTCTTAATCTGTAGAGTTAAGTTCAAATACCTATTGTTTAAATATACATATAGCCAACGTGAAAGATATTCAGTCAGGATCATTAAGCTACTTCGCAAATTATAACTTAAACTGTACCTTCCAAGTTGTTTTGATTATCCTCTCTACCTTACTTTTCCTTTCTTTATTGAAAAAAGAATAGTATTCTGTTGAGATAGAATAAATAACCTAAAAGGAAAATTAACGTCACAACTGTCATCGTGAACAAAAATGCTTTGATTCAATCGTAGTCATGCGAACTTCTAATTTTAAAGTAGGTGATTTGTAAGAAATGATATAGAGATCTTTTTCCAGAATTCTCTCCAATTTGAAGGAATTACGAATATTTCCGAATTTAAATGGTACTCGAGCGTTGGAAGTATTGAGGTTAGATCGCGCGCAAGTGACGGACGTCCCTTCAAATTTATGCGAGCAGTGTCCAAAATTGAAAAGTCTGTGAGTAATTGAATTTTAAGCGTTTAATTTTTGTAAATGTTTAAGGATAAATTCTTAGAGCTGCATCGGGTCGTTTAATGCGTTTCAAACAGCGTTTTGTTACGGTGAATTAATTCCATGTCGGTATAATTCGATTCGAACGACAATCTAAATTATAACACAGCGGAGAGTTGATGAAGTTAACTGACCGGTAAATTCATTAGCCTGCATCAAACTGTCCGATGCACTTGCACTGAAATTACATTATGGTAATTAATTTTATATTGATCCTCGTCTAGTCCATGTTAAATAATATTCCAACATAACGAATTCACGTATCGGTAAAGTAGAAATCGATAAAATTTGAATTTCATTAGAGCGTTAAATTTGCTTCATACAAATTCACGTTTTATTAAGTAATTAATCAACGATTAAGCTCTTTTTTGAAATTCTTCTTTCACGTATTATTTATTTTCCTTCGATTTTCAGTGACCTAAAATCGAACTTCTTAACGGAGATACCGAATTTACAAAATTGCAGCGAACTACGTGTTTTGTAAGTAATTTTTATTTATAAATTAAACATTTGTTTTACCTGCAAAGAATAAATATCTTTTTTATAGGGATTTGGCGAGTAACATGATTTCGTCGTTGCTAGACGAGCCGTTCAAGGGTCTGAACATGCTGCATGACCTGCTTCTATCAAACAACAAGTTGCAAGTGATCCCAAGCGACGCATTCACCGGCTTGTCGAGGCTGCAGGTGTTGTAAGTGTCGTCGCTTGCAATTACCCCCGCGTAGATAGTTCACCGTTATCGTCTTGAAAAACAGGATTCGATGTTTCAGGGACTTAGAGAGCAATTACATCGAGTACATTCACCCTGACGCGTTCAAGGAAACGAAACATTTAGAGGACCTGTGAGTATTAAAAGAAAATTCGTACTTGTCTTATGTTTCTTCTTGCAATTTTTTTTGAATTAAAACAATAAATAAGAGTCAGAGATCTGTACATTGTGAAATTTTATTTTTTATACTCTAATTCCAGAAACCTTGGGAACAACGTATTTCCAGCACTGCCAACTTTAGGATTATCAGGTCTACTGCATCTCAAAACATTCAATAATCCAGCACTGAGAGAGTTTCCAGCCCCAGAAAGGTTTCCACGCGTACAAACGATGGTGCTGTCATATGCTTATCATTGTTGTTCTTTTTTGGCGATTGAGGTGGAGAATCCGGTGACAAAATCCTCCGTTCAAGAGTCTATCCTATTCCCCACCGACAACGAGTTCGATATGAGCCTGTGGAACTCGAGCTACACCGATATCTGGCCACAGCTTAGTAAGTAATTCAGTGAATTGGTCATTCTGCTCAGGTCCTTGGAGCTTTCATGGTCTGGGCTCTTCAAATTAACACCACCACTCATAAGTATTGGTTCATTCATTTCTTTAGATTCTTGTTTATTGTTGATAATTTTATTTTTGAAATTTGCAAGAATTTTGTAATGGTTCATTTGATAACATTAAAATAAAAATGGATGAAACAATATTTTGTAACTAGTAATACATGTCACTAATGCCAGTCATTGTCTCACAACACCTCATACCACAGTGTCAAACCACTTCCACATAAATTAATTGACTGCACTAACAATATTTCACCAGTTAAATAAAGAACGTAACATTCTAATGTGTTTTAATGTGTTTTAGCAAAAACAATGAATTTCTGGGTTGCTTTACCTTGTGAAAAATTGTTCATTCAACACTCAGCTTGTTTAATTTTGGTTTACGAGTCGCTCGACACTGAAATGCTGCAAAGCGCAAGCCATAGGAGTCGATTTACCTGACTCATAGTGTAGAGTAGATGTTCAAACATTGCTGCACACAAGCAAACACTGTTTTTACACACAGTCAAACAAATTTTGACGCTACAGCTTCTTTTATCATTTAACTTCTTTTTAGATCACGTAAAAAAGAAAATACAAATTCATCAATATACACATTCTTCCACGCGAGACATCATCCAATTAGCTCTCTTCGATTTTCATCGATTCGAGCAC